CCACGAAAGAAAATGAAGATATATACTTGCATTAGATGAAAGTGGCACAACAACAACAACAACACACAACAGAAACATAGTGTATCAAGAAGCGTCGGCTGCCTGTAGGAGATATTTTGCCCTGCAGTTTCAGTTTCAGGTATACTCAGTTATTTGAAGCACTTTCACATGGGAGTTTCAACATTTTATTCTCCTTATTCTGTGTACATGTGCATCAGATGAACTTTACAGAGACATCTAATCATTTCCCACCGGTGCATGTTTTGAAAAAAAAAGGTATGTGAATCTAGCTTTGTATGTCCAGAGTAGTTGTACTTTTGTTTGTGCCATATGTTGCCATCACACTAGCTGAATCTCTGTTTATGTTTTATGTCTTTCCTCTGAACTTTGTAAAATAATGACCAGTCTAAAAATTCAGTGAATTGTGCTCCACTTTTGCTATATCTTCTGGCTAATCGGAAATGTTTTCCAGCTGAGTGTCGCTGATGCAAATAAGTCAACAGTCTAGATGCATTTATGGTATGGTCTACTCCTTTTCACTGAATCCTTGATAATTAACTACATTTAATCTTTGATGCATTGATGTTATGACCCATGACTACAAAAGTGTCTATGTAGACCTCCACAAGTTCATGCCCTTCTTTGTTCAGTTAGTTTCGAAGGCATGCTGTACCCATGTGCTATTTCTCTTTGCACCACACCCATTTCGTTTTTTCAGTCGGCACCTCTTTTTCAGATCCTTCCATTTAGACTGTGAATGGTGAGATAGACTAGACAAGTATAGCAAGCAAAATAAAGGAACGAATGGCATGGATTCTTTGTTGGGTGAACTCTACCCGAGTGACTCTACATGCCATGGCTAGCCTTTCCATTTTTTCAAGGTGTCGCTTAAATCTTCTCCCCCATGAACTTCCGCTAGAAATATTGATCAATTGCACTCCTCAACAGTACCTAGATTCGACCACTGATAGCTTATAGTTAGATTGAATAAGTCGTGTTATTTCTTACTACTGTAAGATAAGTTTTGACCGGGACATAAGTTAGGTAGGATGGAGGATCGTATTATCGCCAGGCTTCGTTCTTTTCCACATCCAAAACAACAAGCTATGCATAAGGGGCGATCGCTGGGGTTGTACACGTTGGCATCGGTATCACTATTTGCAATGGCCAATTGGAAGGAGCAATGCATTTTGTCGTTGTGTCCACGTCGGTCTGAGTTCTGATTGGTACACGCCGGCGTCACCGTGTGCCCCAAATTGACCCATTCATCTAACTTAATAAGAATTCTGATAGTTGAATTGTCGTAACATGCAGAATTATATTATGACCTTCAGGTTAACCTGAGTTACTTTGCTGTAAAATTGAACCAAAATGCTCTCCCATCCCTATACATATTTTTTTCTTATCTAATTTATTGTAAAAGAAGTGCTTGACATATCGTGTTCTGGCATTTAGGAGTTACAACTATTGCTGGTGGGAAATCAAGCAGAGGAGGGCATGTTGGTGGACCAAGTGATGCTGCAAAATTTGCTACTGATTTTGAAGTCTGTTACATTGCCAGTCGTTGCTCCCTTTTGGTGATTGACAGAGGAAATCAAGCTATTAGGGAGATTCAGCTCAACTTAGATGACCGTGTGTACCAGTATGAAGCTGGTTTTCCTCTAGGTATGTATTGTGCAATTATTATATGCCCTGAGGGTTCATTTCACTAGGTTGTTCCCTCATTAGATCATCCTAATAATGTTGAAGCACTGACATTCTTATTTCTTGTTGTCTTGTACATATCACTAGAATTAAGTATTGAGCCAAGCCGGTGAGAAGCTGACTTTAGCACATGTTGTCTTAATTTTTGTCATACATCAGCAGTTACTAGATTTGTGCCATGTACTTCCTCCTGATCCCGCAGTACTATTTTTTAGGCAAACCCACACTACTAAATAATATGTATATGAGTATATCATATATGGGCTCATTTCACTAGGTTGTTCGCTCACTAGATCGTCCTAATTATTGTACTGTACTGAGTGGTTGAATTATCATGCTGATCGGGGCGAGGTGACTATAGCGACGAGATCTTATAAGTGGTTCTTAGAGGTGTACTTGCTGTAGGTGATCAATTTGGTCCGGATTGGATTTTCTTTTTATCTTTGTGATTGCTTTTCTTATAATTGATCCAACAATAATGATGCATGACCAGCAAGTCATGCGCCTGTGGCTTTACACTAAGCTTTGTCCACTATTAACCTCCTTTTGTGTGTTCGAAAGGATTTCTCCATGTATCATGTAATAAGAATTGTTTGTTTCTTTTTTAGGATTCAGGATGGGCGCCATATGTTAGACCTCTTCCCGGCAAGGATCAGATGCATAATATGGTATGTACATGCAATGGAGATCGAAATGCATTTGGTCCTCTAATATGCACTGCTGGCATACAGGTTATTTTTTGTTTCAAGCACAAACACACGCGTTCCATGGTTAATTTTGTAGAGATGGAAACAAATTGAGTTCTTATGGCTTCTAATTGCTGAGGTAGGATACGAATCCTTTATGCCCTTTGCTGCAAGCGACATAATACATGTAAGTGTTTCATCCTCTCCTAGAGCTCATGCATATATGTTAGTGATGGACAATCAGAAAGACTAAATGCTACTCCCTCTGTCCCATAATATAAGAACGTTTTTAACACTACACTAGTGTCAAAAACGTTCTTATATTATGGGATGGAGGGAGTAATAAGGTGCTATTTAAAATCGTTGATGGTTTATACTTTGATCATTTAGTTTTAGGATGGTTTGTGTAAGCCACACATTTTCATGCATGAAGCTGCTACTCTTGACTAGGATATGTGTGCTATTTGTTAACCTCATCATATTGGGGTTGGTAACTCAACATACCCGCATATTACTACCCCGGTGAATGCCGGAAAATGTTAACCATCGACCAAAAATATCGCTCCGACTAGATACCTGTTTCCAAACTAAACAGTTGTTTTCGTGTCATCTAGACTATACCAAATATAGTAATAATCAATATATGATCTTGGGCAAGCCGAAATGCCATTATTTCTTTTTAAAAATGATACCATGCTATCTGAATTTGGAAATGAAGCAGCTGATCCACTTACTCAAGTTTCAGTTTTCTTCTTTAGTTTTGCATTTGCAGCCAGAATTTTTTGGTGTTTCAAAAAATAGCCTCGAGCTATTTGGACTACCTACTTGTGACCCAAAGCTTAAATTGTTATATTTTAAGGTTGTATGTTGTGACCACTAAGACTAAAGATTGTAATTCATTGTTCATCGTACCAATGGTGTTCCCGTTGAAGATGATCGTAGAAACTATATTATCAGTTCATTGCTACTTTGTATGTGACTTATCCTATAGCCTCGTATATGTCAGGATTGTAATACGAGTGCCTTGGTCATACAATTTTTTGTTATGATGTCCAAAGGTAATATGTTAATTTTGATGTCATTTATTGGTAAGTAAATCAAAGTCAACTTTATCATGTGCTTACATGATTTGGTATACAAGATGGATCTTTAGCTTTTGGGGACATACTAATGAGAAAGCTGGCAAAAAGGATCTCATTTAAAAATTTAAAATATGCAAGTAACAGTATCAGCTTTTCCTGTAATTCCTTGACATGTCATTCTTATTCCTTATCAATACGAGTAAAACTGAAAATGAGTGTCTTGCATGAGTTTTAGTTAGTTTTACTATGTTGCGGATTTCAATACTGAACCAGTAAGGCCAACATGCATAATCAAGCTTAGATTAGTAAGCCAACCAGCCAACATGCATAATCAAGCTTAGATTAGTAACCCAACCAGCCACTGTGATGTGTGCAGACAAGATTAGATTTGTGATTTGACTGCGTTCTGATAATCTGACGAACTATTCCTCTCTTTTGGAGATCGCCTGTTTTTTGGAGGATGTTAGACTTTGATTTCAACCGCTCATCGTGCTCTTTCAGTCATCCGCCTCTCAGCTAATATAGAACTATTAGCTGTCTCTGTTCGCTCTGCTTGACGAGTGAATAATTTGTTGCTGCTGTTCTATTCCATGTGTTTTAAAAAAAATTGACACTCATTATGACTGCATATACAAGTTAACAAATGCGCTAACAAGATTAGTGCGCACAATCACACACAGGAGGCGCACCCAGGGTGCGCCCCAGCCACTAGTGCAGTAGCAAAGAAGGCACAAGTTGATACACGAACTCTCTTCTTCCTCGCTGATTTTTGTGCTTTTTCTTGAGGCTGTACGGAATTCTCCCTTACCTAAGTAATAGAGCGTGTGGTGTGAGTCTCTCCTGTGATTATAATCTTGTTCATACTCGTTCGCAATAATCGATAATTCTAAACACATGGGGTCTTTTGCCTAACTAAGCTATCCCGTTAATCCCGTAAAATTTCCCCCGTGTGTGTAGCATTGCTCGGCAATAATTTCTACAGTTATAGATGTCACCTGCGAAATTTACTTACGGACTCTCTCCCCAGTCAATGTCCCACCAGTCCGCCCCATGAATGTCAGGGTGGGCCCCCTTCCTTCCAATTAATTGTTACTAGTAACAATAATTTCGTAAAATTGGATCGTAGATGTAACAAAAATTGTCAGTTTACAGACAAGTAAGCAGAGGCCTGAGAAGACAAGAGCGACGACGTGGGGCCTTGTTGACAAACCTGAGAAAAATGGAGAAGAGAATCTTCTCTTCCTGCGCGCGGCATGCAAGACGACGACGTGCCGGAGACTCTTCGTCGGTCGTCGACCGACTATTCGACTGCATGTCTTCTCGCCGGTCAAAGCTGTCACCACTCATCAGCCTTGACTAATCGTAGAAATTTGGTCATACCAAGATATATGCAAGGTTAATAGATCTCCTCTCTCGACCAGACGGCGGTCTATAAATACATATACGGGCCTTCTTCGACCAGCAAGCATCACAGCAGGACGTACAAAGCTAGCTGCCTAGCTCCCAAAGCCTCGCTCCAATCATCGACATGGCCCTCCAAGCTCCAATCATAAACATGGCGTCCTTGGGTAGCAGCGCTACCGGCCGTCGTCCCACGGTGCTCCAGCAGATCGCTCTCTTCCTCGTCGTCGCGGCGGTCATTATGAACAGCTCCGTCTGCGTCGGAGCCGCCGGCCACGACGCCGCTCTAGTAGGTCAGTCGACAGTGTCTAGTTAATTCCCTTCAAAATGTGTTCCTTCATTTCCTCAACGTTTCTACAATTGGTTAACTAGTTATGATGCCCTGCTGAATAACGTTCATGGTCGTTTCCCGTCCAGGCACTGACCCTAACCACCCTGCTTTCCCGTCGCCGCCTGGTAAACCCTACACCGGCGGCCGTGGGTGCCGTACAATTTACGGATGTCCTGATGTACCACCGGCGGGTGGCCAGCCCTAATTACACCGGCGCACAGACCAATCTGTCAAAACAATGCAAGGATCGATCGACATATGTAGCTGAACGGCGACCTAGATGCATGTACTATATGCATGCATGCCTCTTATACACGAGCAATACCGTCTCGTGATGTACTCGTACCTAGTACTTAGACTCGAATAAAACTGGATTATTGCGTCTGGATTTTGATGTGAATCCATATGGTCAATTTTCGTGAAGATAAAATTAAGTTTGGTTCGGAACTTGCAGGCATGTATCGCTGGATAGTGAGTAAATTAAATTTGCGGTAAAGCCAGGTACTATACTGAAGAGTACCTGAAAGCTCCAAGGGGGACTAAATTCAGCTCATGATCTTTTATGTGTGTATTCCTTACCTATAACAATATATGTCTTTGTCTGTGCAATTCATTTTGCGGACAGGTAAAGAAGAGTACATGAAAGTTCCGAGGGAAACTAAATTCCTGCCTCTTCTTCCTTCCTCCTCCCTCCCTGGTGGCGGCACATCCACCGCTGCACTACCCCCTCCCCCACGACTACCACCACCACCGCACCTCATCTCCCACTGGTCACACATACTCGCCTCAACCCTTTTTTTCCGAGTTGGACTAGCCTAACCCCTTGAATGGGTCGCATGCGTGTAGATCGGACCTCACGATAACCATGGCCTTCTCTCCTATAAGTTGCACGTGCTTGCCACATCCCCACATTTGACGCACGTTTGTGGGGCAAATGACGTGGTGAGTGTCTCCATGTTTCCCACCAGCCAAGAGTGCTCGCCTCATCCCTTGGTCATGTTGCCCATGGATCAAAGAGGGTATTGAGCCAGTGACCACTACCTCTTCTCTCGGTGAGGGGCCGTACCGTGGTCCCCCATGATCGGCGGTACTTGGAGCACAACATGCACTCCTCGGTCGGTAGCCGTGGACTCATCTCCCAGTCTAGGTTTGTCCTTTCTGGTTCTAGCTTGTCTCGAAGTCCTAGTTTCCATATGACTTCCATTTTTCCCTTTTGTCTTGAAAATAGGGAGGCAATTGCAATTTCATGGTTCAGGCAGCTATTGGTGGATTAGTACTTGTAAGTAATCACATTATGAGGGAAAATGTAACTAAACCCGGAGAAATAGATATGTTTTGGACTGTGTCATAATGATCCCTAAGCTTAATCCATACTTGTCCTCAAGTATATGTAGGATGATGAAACTAGTTGACTTTTGAAGTTTCATAAAATTTAAATGAAATGCTTATGTGGTGTGGTGCGCTTCAATTTATCTCTTGTGGATCATTGAAAACATGCCCTCACTCCATATCTTTAACGTGTTTGCCCATGTCGATCCATTAACCCGCTCCGGGCTGTCACGAAAAGTCCACATTCACTAGATACCTACTCACTGATCCATCAAATCTTTCCTATCTACTCAGCGCTTTGCCTTGACGCCTCCACAATGTCATGCTTAGCTAGGTGGTCAGCTTGTCTACAGCCAACCTCAAGTTGTTACGCTTCATGTTCCCCTTCGCCTATTCTCCCACCCTCGCTTCTTCTCCTTCCCACTCGCCTCCACTGCCACATGCTTCCACTCCCTACTCCGCTACAATCTGCTTCCTCCTCTACCCTATGACTATGACATATCCGATAACAACCTGAGCAAGTAAGAAAGTCACACGACAAGGCCCACTCCTTATGGCCTTGTCTCATGAATTCACGTTGATGTTGGCAATGACATGGATCGAAGAAGTAAAGGAGAACAAACAGCTTCTGAAGTTGATTCTATTAGGTCTTATCACATTTCTAATATGAGCAAAAATTTACAAAATCACCGATGGTTTAGTCCCCAGTAAAGGAGAACAAACTGCTTCTGAAGTTGATTCTATTAGGTGTTGTCGCATTTCTAATAGGAGCAAAAATTAGAAAATCATTGATGGTTTAGTCCCCATACTTGGAAACAGGTTCATCATGGGGCGCCATAAGGTCTCACACCTTGTTGGCCAGATAGTAGGCATCGCCTAGTCGCCCCTCGTCACTCGGAGGTACTCACTTATCGCCACCACCGCATGGAAGAAGTTGCCCAGATCAAATTCAATGGTCGTAGACATATTTCACCTTTTTTTTTTTTACAACCAGTAAGCTTGAACTTCATACAATGGTTGTGGCATTTTATTCCTTTTGGTTTGAGTTTGCTTGTGAACTTGTGTTGAACTATATACTTCGTTGCTACTTTGATTAATAAAATGGTTGTGTGCATCACTTGATGTAGAGACCGGGGGTAATCCTTTTTTTTGGAAAAAAAAACTTCATACAAAACAAATAGAAATACAATCCTGTCAAAAAATCGATTTGGCATAAATCCAACGCATCTCTCAGGAAAGAGCTTTAGTCTAGTGGTTTGAGTTAATAAGTAACTTATCATCGATGCACAAATTAGGAACCTATCCAACGGCCATGCTCAAGGGTCTAAGCACGAGTAATGGAGCACATTGATACAGTCCAGAGGTCCTGTGCACAACCGTATGACAATCAAGCAAATTATGACTGTTGGAACCAAATATTGTCCAAGCTTACAGAAACGCTAAAGCTAGGTTCCATGACGTCCCTACAAATAAATGATCTCTATCCTATTTGTCCTATATATAGTTACACACAAAGGAAAATAAATATCCACGTGACAACTCAACCATGTAAAAAAGATAGAAACATATTGTTATCCACTATAATGCATCATTAGCACTTTTTAAAACTGTTGTGGAATGCTCATATACCGTTAAAGCACCAATTCCGGGGGGAAGAGCCACATTCCATCTTCTCCGAAGTAGCAACGCTCACGAAATCTTGTCGGGCTAGCATTGTGAGTCTTCGTATTGAAGACCTCGCCTGACTCGAGAAGATAAATGGCATCCTCTTCGACATCTCCACAAGGTGCATAAACAAACTTGGAGTAGTCTGGGCTGATGAAGAGTGTTTGACTACCTCCAAGGCCATTAGCCATTGGTATCCATTTGCATGTGTTAACATCCGCCATAAAAACATCAACCTGGCGAGTGGACATGGTATAATCTGGAAGCATACTCGTGCGTGTCTTCACCATGAACAACTCCCCCCATGACTGGACTAGGTGCCAGCTAGTGATTTCTTTATTGCCATTGTAATATGTGGAATTCAGATAATTGTGGTCCTTTTCACCATCGTCATTATCATTTGCCATTGTTGTCCAGTCTTGATCAAAATCGACGACCCCATTATCACCCGCAGTTTTCACATCCATCGTCGCCTCCATCTTCTCCTCTTCCTCATTGTCCTCATCAATGGCTACGTCACCTTCCTCCTCCCCCACAACATCATCGTAGTCGTCATCATCATCAATGTCTCTATCATCGTCATCTGAATCAGACGGAGGCCACCAATCATAATCCATGTAATCGAGTGGTTGCCGAATCACACGCCTTCCAATGGTAACCATGGGCCTCCCATCCTCGTCCAACCCTAGATCAAAGGGGATGAGGTCCCCGGCCTTTGTGATGCCATAGAGTTTGTCTCCAGAAAAGGCAATGTCAACGATATAGATATATGGTTCTGCTCGTGGTTCTGGCAGCCACACACCCTTTCCTGGTAGAATTACGATGAGAGGATGATTCTCGTTGGTGGTGGTGACGGCGATGAAGTCACGGGCGGTGGACCGCATTCGAAACTTGAGGACGTGGTAGGCACGGTGAAGGACCGCGTCAAGCTCGGTGAGAGGCACATACTCGAGGGGGAAAATATTGTGCAAGACATAGTTGTTGAAGCAATAAGATTCTACTTCGTCTTCCGGTATGTAGATGAGGTTCTGCTCGTAGATGCCAAGGAGTAGCCACTCGTCGGCGGAGCCACGGCATCGCGCATTGTCAGGGATAGAGCCGGGGCATTCCCATCTGCTGCCATTGGTCGGAGTTATGAATTCGCCATCAGGGAAGACGATCCATGGTAGCTGGGCCGCCTGGGGGCCATGGCGTCGCACGGCGGCGTGCCATGAACGGCACACGGCGCGGGCGCGGGCACGGTCGCCTGGGTCAAGGAGGTTGGCGACGACAAGGTCTAGGAGATCTTGATGGAGGTCGACCCAGGATGCCGCCATGAGAACCGATAGGGTCTTCGATCGATCGGAATTGGTAATTTCGAAAGAGGCGGAGTATGCATATATTGTGGGATGTAGTCTTGCACCGCTACGTACGTACGTGCAGAGACGGAGGCAAGCACGTCGCCAGCCGGCAATTTCTTGTAAGTACTGTACTACGTACTACTCCAGTTCACATTGGATGCACGCATGATTTGTTGACGTACATACGTCACGGAGAGCAAGAGATGGAGTCCTCGGTTATACATTGATGCTTGTATGCCGTAATACGTACGTGCATGACAAGGAGTTCAAAACTTCAAACGTGTACGGTACGGTACGTGCATGCTGGCAGTATTTGCTCGCCTTGGCCAGCAAGAAGATCGACGAATCAGCCGGCAATTCCTTGCAGAGACGGAGGCATGCACGTGAACAAATCATGCTCGTTTTGAGAGTTGGGCTTGCTAGTCCAATGCCGAGGCCATCAGCGATCGTCGGTCGTCCCTGGCATGCGGGCCCAACTTGTTCGTCTGGTCGGAATTGCGTGAGTAGGAAAAAAAACTTTTACTTGAAAGTTACATATGATGTACGAACCTTATTCTGATCTTGTACTTTGACAAATTAATTAACTTACTAGCTTAAATATCAAAGTGGTGTACTTATCTCTTTATTATGTTGTCTGGCTGGAAAGGGTGATTCCTATTGTTGAGCTCGCAAATATTGGAAAAGAAAATTATAGTGGATTAGTTGAATGCCCGTCCGTTGCCACGGAGTAAGGAAAAAGTTCAATGATAAAATAATTGTTCTAATTCAGAAATATGGGTCGAAGATGATGATATGTGGTTTTCATTTATGTAGTGACGAATTCTGATCCTCTCTCCTACTTGTTTTCTCCTCACAATCATTGTGTCTCATTAATAACCATCCTCTCTTTGCAAGAAGGCAAAGCAACATCCTTCTCCCCGCCCTCCCTACTTGGATAGTCTTTGATCGAAAGTTGCAACTAGGAAAAGTGGACGTGCAGAGACGAAGGCAAATACATTGCTTCATTTGTTGATATCTTTGAAGGCCTTTAATTTTTAAAAGTTAGCAGATCATCACTTCTCTTTCTACGACGAAAATAATGGATAGTCTTCTCGATCGGAAATAGCAACGAACCTTTTCAAAAGGTTCATTCGGTTTTTTCAGCAAATACATTGCTTCATTTGCTGATATCTTTGAAGGCCTTTAAATTTTAAGAGTTTTTTTAGAACGAAGATGCCGGGAGCGTCCGGCTTTAAATTAATAAAGCCCACATAAGGCAGCATCCAACAAGTTCAGCACAGAACAGAAAATAGAAAAAGGCCACAATCAAAATGTGATACATGCTACCGGCCGAAGCCTGCGAGAGAATGAGAAATGAAAGCAGCGTGCAAGTAGCCGGTCCAAAAGGTCACAACCCACGGCAGGCTAATGGCGGGCACCAATCTGAATCAACCGAATCCGCTCCATAGCCTCCGCCATCCGATCCGCATCACGCCGTTTCCCCAACGGCGTCCATGTCTGGAGGAACAAGTGGCATTTGAAGATAATGTCAGCCGGGTATGAAGGAAATTTGTGTTCAATAGTCATCTTATTGCGAGTAGACCAAATGGCCCAGAACAAAGCTCCCACACATCTCCATAAAACACGGTCGAAACCACCCCTATGAGCGAGAAGAATAGCACGAAGGTCCAAAGCAGAGCGGGGGTTCCAGTTCTGGTCAAACGCCTCCCTAACCGCACTCCAAGCAAAGAGAGCGACGTAGCAATTAAAAAAATATGGTTGGCATCTTCATGTCGGCCAGAGAGAACGCAAGCGCCATCGGAGGGCCCGTTCCTACGCGCGGTATTATTGGAGGAGGGAAGGTGATCACGAAACATCTGCCACAAGAAATTTTTTATCTTCAAGGGGATAGATGCTTTCCATAGCCCCCTAGCTATGTCCAGGGTCGGCCCCTCGGTCAGTTTGTTGTACAGGGATTGGACGGAAAAGTTCCCCGAGCGCGATAGAGCCCAGGAGACCGAGTCGGCCTCAGGTCGAAGAACCACTCCCGCAAGAGCAGCAACGAGCCCGTCCCAACAGGCTCGTTCAATGTCGAGGAGGGGTCTTTTGAAGGAAACCGCTGGCGAGTTGGTGCGCAGCGCATCAGCCACTAGGATGTCAACATTAGTGGCTAACCGATAGACAATGGAGTGGCTTTTCCACAAGGGTTCCGTGCCAAACCAATGATCCAGCCAAAATCGCGTCGAGGACCCATTGTTGACGCAAAACTTGGCTCCTAAAGTGAAGGCAGGCATAACTTTCTAGATCCCATTCCAAAATGTGGAGCTCTTAGCTTTGGATGTGAGAAAATTCACATCTGGGAAGTATTTGGCGCGAAGAATATCCGCCCAGAGCCCCTGCTCGTTTTGGGAGAGTTTCCAAATCCACTTGGTTAGAAGAGCGACATTCATGAGCTTGGAGTTAAGAATCCCAAGACCACCGAATTTCTTAGGCCGACAGAGCGCGGCCCATTTGATCAGGCGGTACTTCCTTTTGATCCCAGTTCCTTCTCAAAAGAACTTGGATCGAGGCGTATCAAGCTTGGCATGAACCCCATCCGCCAGCAAGAACATGCCCATCGTGAACAGAGGTAGGGAAGATTGGCTGGAGTTAGTCAGGATCAATCTAGCCGCCGAGAAAAGGAACCGACCGCGCCAGGGGCTAACCCTGTTTACCACCTTACTGTACAAGGGCTCCCATTCCAGAATAAAAATGTGTTTATCAGAGATAGGCAAGCCCAAGTGCTTAATTGGAAAGCTCCCTAGCTTGCAATTAAGCAGGTTGGCAACTCGAGTAGCTAGCAAAGGGTCCATCCCAATGGCTATTACCTCGCTCTTAAGGAAATTGATCTTAAGGCCAGAAATGATTTCGAAAGCAAGGAGGATGAGTTTGATCGAGGCAACGCTATGATCGTCAGGCTCAAAGAGCAACAAGGTGTCGTCCGCATATTGAAGGTGCGTGAGTCCACCCGGAATAAGGTGAAGGACCACCCCGCGGATATGACCGGCGTCCTTCGCCTTATGTACCATGGCAGAAAGGGTGTCCGCAACAAAGTTAAAGATCAAAGGCGAGGAGGGATCCCCTTGCCTGAGACCTCGCTTATTGCGGAAGAAGTTCCCAACCTCTCCGTTGATCGACACAGCAGTCTGGCCTCCCGAGACCAGGTGCATGATGCGGTGCACAAATCCTGACTCGAATCCCTTCCGAGTCAGCACCTCGCGGATGAACTCCCAGTTCACGCGATCGTATGCTTTCTCAAGGTCGAGCTTGAGGAGCACGGCCGATTGCCCAGTGCGTTTAAGCTCGTGAACAGTCTCCTGCAACACTATCGGCCCTTCAAGAATGTTGCGACCTTTGAGAAAACCAGACTGGCTACGGTTGATAACGCGCTGCGCTACCGGGGCAAGTCTGGTAGCATAAGCCTTTGAGCAAATCTTGAAAGGCACGTTAATAAGAGTAATAGGACGGTACTGCTTGATAGTGTCGGCGCCTTTGACTTTTGGAATGAGGCTGATTGTTGGGGAACGTAGTAATTTCAAAAAATTCCTACGTACATGCGAGATCATGGTGATGGCATAGCAACGAGAGGGGAGAGTGTTGGCCACGTACCCTCGTAGACCGTAAGCGGAAGCGTTATGACAACGCAGTTGATGTAGTCGTACATCTTCACGATCCGACCGATCCAAGTACCGAACGTACGACACCTCCGAGTTCAGCACACGTTCAGCTCGATGACCATCCCCGGGCTCTGATCCAGCAAAGCTTCGAGGATGAGTTCCGTCAGCACGACGGCGTGGTGACGATGATGATGCTCTACCGGCGCAGGGCTTCGTCTAAACTCTGCGACGATATGACCGAGGTAAAATATGATGAAGGGGGGCACCGCACACGGCTAAGGAACGATCCGTAGATCAACTTGTGTGTCATGGGGTGCCCCGCTGCTCCCGTATATAAAGGAGCAAGGGGGAAGGAGGCCGGCCCTAGGAGGGGGCACGCCAAGTGTGGAGTCCTACTAGAACTAGACCTACTAGGACTCCCTAGTCCTAGTAGGATTCCACCTCCCTTGTTAGAGTAGGAGAAGGGGAAAGAGGGGGAGAGGAAGAAGGAAAGGGGGGACCTCCTATATGCCGCTAACTGCGGCAAGAGGTCGACCTTTCGCACAGGGCGGCTGGGCGTGGGCCGGCCCATTGGCAGGTGCAGTGCCACCGCGCCTGATCGACGTGAAAAACGCCAAAAAGAAGTAGGAGAGGAAGAAGGAAAGGGGGGACCTCCTATATGCCGCTAACTGCGGCAAGAGGTCGACCTTTCGCACAGGGCGGCTGGGCGTGGGCCGGCCCATTGGCAGGTGCAGTGCCACCGCGCCTGATCGACGTGAAAAACGCCAAAAAGAAGTAGGCTTAAGCTGGGATTCGAACACACGACCACGGAATGAGTGGCGCGCTCAGCTAACCGCTGCGCCAGACAAGTCTTCGTGTTAAATACGATTCGCGACACTTCAAGAACTAAACGTCTGTGGCAAAACAAAAAACACAACTCTGTTTAAGGGATCGAACCAAGGAGCTCTTGCTCGTTAACAACGTCACAAGCCACCATAACTACTAAGATTAGATGTCCAAAATAGCAGCCAGTGTGTGTCAACTATAAGCCACAATGAGATAAACTTATTTCTAAATATTGAACGTGATTTTCTTTCTGAAAACAGTAAATATTTTTGAAATGCAAACATTTTCTAATTTTGAACAATACTTTTTAAAAGTCAAAAAATTTAAAACACAATTTTTTTAAAAAAGGAACAAATTTTAATGGGAGAACAAAATTTAAATTATGAACAATTTTTTGGAAATCCAAACATTTTCTGAAAAACAGGAACAAAAAATTATAACCGGAACATTTTCCAAATTATGAACAGTTTTTCAAAAACACAAATGTTGAGTATTTTTTTTAAGATGTCTAGAACA